CAGACCCAAAACTCTTCCCTTCTCCCAAAACCAGAGGGGCCAGGTATTGAAGGCAGTGCGACTGGAAAGGGCGTGGGTCCCTGAATGCCTGCTAATTGGGAGCCCCCCCATTCAGGACCTTACTGAGAAGGAAGTAATCTTCCATTATTAAGATGTTAGGTGCTGTCTCACATAATACAGACCTATTTCCTCTTGACTGATTCATTCACTCTCCAGTCCCTCGAGTGGGAGAGGTCAACATCCTCCCTAGCCATACAGTATCCTAAACCTAAGAGCCTGCCTGACTCCAGGTGACTAGGAGTCTGATTCTGCCCCTGGAGGAGCAGATGAGACACGTTTTACACGTAAGCTCCGTGGCATGCCAGACCTACATGGCACATATATCACACTCTCCGGCAGGGTTGGTGAAGAGTCGGATTTTAGACAAGAAAGGGTCTCCTGGTTCTCCATCTATGGTGGTTCCATCATGAAGAACCAAGGGTCCAGGCAGAAAGACAGCCTGCTGAGCAGGAGACCTGATCTTGGGTCACATGACCCTTCTCTGGCCCCCATTTCCTCAAAGGCACTAAACTGGAACCCCTTAATCATAACCCCTCCCATGCCCGACTTCAAAGAAGCCTTATCAGCAATGGTGAACACAAGCATTTACAGAGACAGAGCGGTCAGTGGGCTGGGTCCAGCCTGTGGCTAATAAGAGAGCTTGTGACTGTGTCAGAGAGCCAGCCAGCCATTACCATTGAAGAATGCACACCGAGGGACTTGACACTTGTGATTTTTCAAGAGAAGCCACACGTCCAGTTTTTTCTTAGTGTCGGGTATCCTGATTTCTAAATGTTTCCGAGGATTTTTTTAAATGTGTGAGCACTGAGCAGGCTAAATAAGGATCACCTATGAATAAAGACTTAACTCTGAAACTCCAGTTTGAGAATAAAGACGGAGGCTAGAGCCAGGTCCCAAGCACTTACTGACCAGCTTCTTGGGCTTCAGGAAACAGGAAGTTCTTACAGTCACCCCATTTCTCCCCAAGGCTGCAGATTCTGTGCCTCCCTCAGCAGCGCCCCCTTAGAAACTCAGGGCTAGGGGGGGGGATCTTAGAGACTCTGAGAACTGAGCTACTCTGTCTTTCTGCCTTCAGCTCTGCCCCTCTCTCCCATCACCATTCCCCAGTCTGCTGGCAGCTAAGGCCAAGACCAAGATTCGCGGCGCCCCCTTCCCCACGCGGGGGGGGGGGGGGGGATCTTAGAGACTCTGAGAACTGAGCTACTCTGTCTTTCTGCCTTCAGCTCTGCCCCTCTCTCCCATCACCATTCCCCAGTCTGCTGGCAGCTAAGGCCAAGACCAAGATTCCTTCATGAGGAGGAAATGTCTGGTGAGATCTGTGGACACCATTTCTCAAGCCACAGTGTGACGAAGAATGGAAGGATAACTAGGATGCAGCAGATGGCATAGGTCTCTATACAGCTGCCAGTTCTTCAGGCTGGGCTTGTATGGAGCAATCACTGGCATGCAATGAGCTCCTGGGCCTGGTATGCCTAAGACAAACAGGAGGTTCCAGCTGGTCCACAGATCCCTCCTCACTGAAGACCATCTCATTCCTTAAGGTACATGGGAAGCTCAGCTCACGAATCATGGGATCCACATGATGATCCAACACTGGGCTGGGCAGATCATGAGTCACTAGCAGCCAGGTAGGACCTGAGGGTGGAAAACTGGGCACAGGGCCACCCTCAGCCTACTAAACTCAAGCTCAAACCAGTGACTCGGGGATCAGACTTCCAAATACCCTTCCTGGGCAACATCTCTGAATTGCCAAAACCCACTTGGAGAAGCCCCTCCAACCAAAGGCACTCCCCAGTTTGTTCTTGGCCATTTGGACTGTTTCCCAGGCAGACCCTGCTCCTAGTGACCCATATTTGCAAAGATCTGCTGCTCAGGATACAGGCTCAGTAAAGATCTTCAAATGAGGTCATGGCCTCACTCAGGAACCTTCCTCCCTCATCTGTGTTCCTCACACACACCCCTCCCCTAATGTTAACTTCTAAACAGAATCTTTTCCGTATGAGGTCATTTCCCCTCCCCCTCCTCTCTCCTTTTTCCCTCTCCACTATCTTCCTGTCACCCCTTCCCCTGGAGCTCAGCTCCCTCTTCAGAATGCTAAGGAAATGACCATGGGAACTTGCAGTGGGGATTTCCTTTCCCCAACAGGTTTTTCCTGGTAATTGCAAGCCAATCCTAATAGTAATAAAAAGAAAAAATACCCTAGGGGGATGACTCACCCTGGCTCAGGCACCAGACATCCTGTGCCCCAGCAGAGCCTGAGTTCCTTCCCTTGGCACTGTTAGAGGCGGACACAAGGCCGAGCTGTGAGGTTGGAAATGTTTTCCTCCCATCCCAGGCATTCTTCTGTCCCTCTGACCTCAAGACGAGCAGCCAGGCCAGTCAGGGAACCTGAGTGCCACCGGTTCAGTGGTTCTCAAGCCCCCTAATACTACACCTCACGCTATGGTGACCCTCAACCACTTTGAGCTCTGCCATTAGCATGCTGTGTGAGTACCAAACCAGTTCTTTTTTCCACATTATTTTTGTTGCCACTTCATTGCTGTAATTTTGCTTCTGTTATGAATCATAATGCAAATATCTGATATTTCCAATGGTCTTAAAGGGGTTGCGACCCACATGCTGAGAACCGGTGCTCTAGCTCTTCCTGACAAACCTCTCCTAACTCAAAGCCCCATCTCAAGACCCCTAGAACTCTCCTCTAGTACACATCATACCAGCTAATTGGATACACTGTCCCGGTTGCAAAGCAACAAAGATAGTGGTCATGGAGGCAAGGCGAATTATTGTCTTGACACTGCCGTTGCATCATCTTTAAAATGGGATGATGAAGCCTCCTTTGACTCCTTTGCCAGGCCTGAAACAAGCTTCCAAGCCTCGGTCGCTTCATCTGATAATTGCAGATAATAACACCATCCTTGCCCACTTCACAGAGCTGCTCAAATGCTCAAAGGCGTTCTGTATGCCACGGTGCTGTATCCACAGAGGCATTATGAGCAGAGCCTCTCCCAGAGGAGAGTCATCAAGCCTACCAACAGCTTCCTGGAAACTTGGCCTCAGCCAGGAGCTGTGAGCCTGTGGGCAGAATGTGTGGGCCACAGCAGACCTGTAGGGAAGAGACACTAGGACAGTGGGGCCTGTCGGGATCAATCAGCTCACACTAGCGCTGCTGCTGCAGTCTGGCAGGCCTATCTGAGAGGTGACCGGCCCCTTTGGCTCCTTCACGTGCTTCTCCATCTCTGTGGTGCTTCTGAAGCATTCTGCATTGCTCTAGAGGGGTTCTGGGAGGGTATGAGTCCCTCCTAGCAAACCTGTATAACATCAGAAGGCAAACAGTGCCAAACAACATCAGGAGATTCCGTGGGTTAATGGTAATAGCACTTGGTACTGATGTCACCCCTCTCACCAGGAAGCCCAGAGGCATTGCACAGAATCATTCCCAGGCCTTTGCTTTCCTCCTTGGCAGTGTTCCCGCTAGGCTGGAAACGGGGAGACACCACAAAAAAAGACAGCCACAGAACTGGGGAGAACCAGTGTGCTGTGTTACACTCCAAAAATTCAAAGAAAAAAACTTTGAGCTCTGCCATTAGCATGCTGTGTGAGTACCAAACCAGTTCTTTTTTCCACATGTGTCAGATTTATCATGTATAAAGAGCACAAAATGAGGGGGGGGTGTAAAAACAAAAATCCTGATTTCTTAAGCATTATGACAAGATTTTTGCCCTTAGCTAACAGGTCCCTTGGTCCAAAGGCACACCGTGAAGAAGGCAGCCTCTCCCCACACACAGGCAAATGCGGGCACTCTGAGACCAGCAACTCAAGCAGAGAAGGAAATCAAGGAACGGCGAGTCTCAAAAGTGGGGGCTGGTGCAGGACGTTCCCAACACCAACCCTTTGGGTTCTGAGACTGAGGATGTCTTTGTCCACGCCCTCCTCCTAAGGAAATGAGGATGTAGAGGAAGGTCTGTCTTTCTCAGTCAAGCATTTTGGGATAGAAGCAGGGTACTGCACCGCATAGCAACAACAGCAGTAGGCCACCTTCCCTCCCTTACACAGGCGTGCAGAGATTGCCAAGCCTCCAGGGAATTAGAACCCTGTGTTCAGGAGAAGGGGAAATCCCAACCTAGGCTATTGGTAACAAGTGAACTCTCCAGGGTTCAGGGTGGCATGGGCAAGATTGACATGTCAGAGGTGAGGGGACCACTACCCAAAGAAAGCCCTGCTCTTCTGCCCTGACACTCCTCCATACCTGCCCCCCAGGAACCCAGGGAAACACCCCCTGCCCCCACCCGCCCCCGCCTTCTCCTTGCG